CACGTTCGCACCGGTTATGCGCTTTGAAACATTGCGCACCGGACTCGGTCTCGCAGCAATAAATGGATGGGATCTCCGTCAATTCGACGTGAAGGGAGCCTATTTAAATGGCTACCTCGAGGAGGAGATTTATATGCGACAACCTCCAGGTGGTACAGGCCGTGTCTGCCTGCTTAAACGATCCCTCTACGGCCTCAAACAAGCCGGAAATGTTTGGAATAAAGAATTCGACCGAGCCATGCAAGATTTGGGATTTAATCGACTCAAATCCGATTCCTGCTGCTACCTGCGTCGCACGGGCGACGATTTCGAGATCCTACTTGTATGGGTCGACGATATATTGTCCATAGCGAGTACAAGCACCCGAAACGACGTTGTGGAGAAGGATCTAGGCAGTAAGTTCGAAATTAAAGCACTGGGACGACCCCGAATGCTTCTTGGAATGGGAATGGCTCAAAATGATGAAGAGCATACCATATCCCTCTTCCAGACTGCCTACATCGACTCCTTGCTCAAGAAATATGGTCTAGACGACTGCAACTCTGTTACGACGCCTCTAGACCCCAATGTTCGTCTCGACGACGACTCAGATGAAGAAACAAAGCCAGGAGTGAACCAGGACCAAGACGAGCACTTATCTGTCGGATACGCGACGCTTATAGGTTCTCTGATGTATCTGGCCATTGGAACGCGTCCAGATATCGCATACACCGTCCAGAAGCTCGCCCAGTTCACTCAGAACCCCAAACCGAAGCACTGGACCGCTGTGAAGCGAATATTTCGCTACCTCAAAGGAACTCGTACCCATGCACTTACTTACAGCGGGTCCGACAACTTTACTACCCCAGAACTCAATATTTATTGCGACGCCGACTGGGGAAGCGACGCGAACCGTAAATCAGTGAGTGGTTACGTTGTCACACTCGCTGGAGGCGCAGTTTCTTGGAGTTCCAAGAAACAAACCACGGTAGCACTCTCAACCGCGGAAGCGGAGTATGTAGCTGCTACTCATGCCGCAAAACAAGTCCTGTGGCACCGTTCTCTGTTCACAGAACTTGGAATTGACTTACCAACGACCTCGACAATCTTCTCGGACAACCAGGCCACCGTTTCTATCGCACACCACCCGGAATTTCATGCACGCACGAAGCACATCGACATCGCGCTTCATTTCCTCCGTGATCTCGTACAGAACGGCACCCTCAATCTTGTGTATATCAACACGAACAACAACTTAGCCGATCTATTCACGAAAGGACTACCTAGATCTGTACATCAAGATCTAACTACGGAGATCGGCGTTCTGTCCGAGTAAGGGGGAGTGTCGGAATAGAACCGAGTAGTTGGTACTCGGACATTCCGCCCTCGA